CGTTACTGAACCAGCGGAGTAATATCTGTCTCTTATACACATCTAGATGTGTATAAGAGACAGGTATATGTATGTATGTATACATATATATATATATATATATATATATATATATATATATGTATATGTATATGTATTAAAAGGCAAAATACTGAAAAGCAACGACGCTATGGGAAAAAAGTCTGGATCTCTTGGTAGAGATATATGCAGTAATATATTATATAAACATATATTACTTTTTTAACAAACAGTTTAATAAATTAAACAGAAACATGTGTAAATGAATAATTTCAGGTCAGTATTAAGTCTTTACAGCAAGTATGCCAGAGATAAGCATAATATGCTTATCTCTGTACAAATTAGCTTCAGGTGTCTCGGGTTGTACATATATTATATGCCTTTAATATGTCGGCATGTCAAAGGTCAGAAACAGCATTTCCGGCCATTTTTTTTTTAGCAAATTGTTCCATTAGACCAAATAGAAAAATGAATGTTCAATTAAACCACAATTAATTCTCTACCGGCCACCAGTGGTGCAGATATATAAGGACTAAGGCTATGACATTGAAAAATGTCAAAGGTTAGAAACATCATTTCCGTCATTTTTAGAAAAAAAATTCTATTCATGGAGGTTCCAAACAAATTGGCACCAAACTTAACTCTCTACCACCAGTCGTTGCAGAGATAATAACGACTCGAAGGTCAGAAATGGCATTTCCGGTCATTTTTTTAGCTCATTTATTTTAGACCAAATAGAAACATGAATGATCCGAACAAATTGACACCACAATTAACTCTCTACCACCAGTGGGTGTGCATATGAGTATGACCTTAAAACATGTCAAAGGTCAGAAACAGCATTTCCGGTCATTTTTTAGTAAAATGTTCTATTAGAGCAAATAGAAATATGCATGTTCCGAATAATTTATTTATTTATTTATTTATTTATAATTTAATACCCCGGTAATCTTTAACGATTCCTTATTTTGCCTTTCTTGCGTCGGTTTACTTCCCATTGTTTTCTGGATGTGTGGCAATTGTTTGCTGATAAGTGACTATATAAAAACAGTACAGTACCGTATTTATTCGAATAAACTCACCGGGGTACGTTTAATTGTTGAGAAGTGTTTCTGAGAGGCGTCTATTCGAGGGAGGCGTTTATTTTGTTTTGTGTAAAATGATATGTATACTTAAATAAACGCCCTTTAATTTCACTGTAAATGTGGAGAGCTATGGATATACAGTAGTTTTCAGTTTCAGTTTTATTTGGCTCTCACTTTTTAAACAGTGGCACACACAAAAATGTGGTGCGTCCATAAAACATACAAATTACAAGTTGAGAAAAATAACAAAAATAATAAAAAACGATCGGTGAGAAGAGAAATACATAGCTAACTAGATTAAAGACTAACTAGAACAACAAAAATAATAATAAAAATCAATAGCAACAACAAAAATAATGAAATCAATAATAATGAAAATGAATATAATAATAAAAATAATGATAATAATATAATAATAAAAATAGTAATATCATACTGTAATATTAATTTAAAAGATCAATTACAAGCAAACACAAAGTGAGATGTATTGTACAAGGAGTAACCATGAAATATGAAATCAAAGGGTATTTTGGGATACCATTTCGGCATTTACCATCAGTTTTACTGGTTTTAATTTTGTTAACATTACAAACTACAAATTAATAATTAGTTGAGAAAAAAAAAATAAGGTAAATAAAGGAGGAACATACATGTGTTTCAAAGGAAACATGTTGTTTGATCCATTATAGAGGGGGGTACATGGTTACTTCATTGTTTTGTATACATATTTTTTCTAATTGTCCAAGCGGTAATGAGGTATTTTTTACAGTAATGATCAAAAATTTTGTCTAAATAATCAATATTAATCTCTGTTAAACTGTCTAAAAACAAATGATGTTTATATTCCATAGAGCCTTTTTCAAAGTCATCCCAAATCTGTTGGAGATCCCAGTAAATCAATTCATTTTTTAATTCTTCAAATCGGTTATCTCTGATTGTTTGAAGTCCATTACATTCGAATATAAAGTGGTCGACTGTTTCTATTTTATCGTCATTGCATATTTTGCAGTACATGACCGTCAAAATGTGTTATTTCCTGATCCATAAAGACATTCCAACCAGGTTAGAAAAAAACTGGAATAGAACATATACAGCGGTGGCGCGCCAGAAATTTGTCGATAAGAGGTCAGACATGTCCAAGGAGGGGTCCTAGCAAATGGGCCGACGAAGCCGGTCGACGCGGTCAGGAATAAAAATTTCCTTGTAGGGTTCACGTAGGGAGTTATGGCTTAGTATGGTCCAAAATGTGCCTTTAGACCCGGAATTTTAGGGATTAGCAGTCAAAATAACGTTATTTGGATAGGTAAATTATTGTTTCCTTTATCTGTGATCTGACGACCTAGTCCCGTGCATCGGACGACAGGAGTCCAGGCCTGTTCGACGGAGGAGGAAAATCCCCCTTCCCCCAGCTGGCGCCACCACTGTTTTATATGTTGAGAACACTGATCTCTCTATAATAGCTGGATTGCTCATTGGCTGGTTTTAGTGGTTTTAATTAGGCCACCGACGCCATGTTGGGGGGGCCTAAGTGACGTATAATTTTAGACAAGTTTCTTTTGCCAATTGTTTAAATTATTGTTAAAAATAATTCATGCAAAATTTGAATTTAACGTAATGATTATTATCATCTATGTACTTGATGTGACTTTTTATGCAGTTTAAGAAAGTGCAAGCAAAGTTATTTGCGTTGTTAGGGATCGACGTCACTATAACAACGCAACTTCGCTCGCGCTTTTGAAAACTGCATAAACAGTCGCGTCTAGTGGTTAAATAGTTTGAAAAAAATCCTAATTTAAATTTATTATTGAAAAGTATTGCAAGAATCGTTATTTTTAACTATAATTTACAACAAATGCAAAAAGAAACATTTCTAAACTGGTACGTCACATAGGCCCTCCAACATGGCATCGGAGGCCTCACTTTTTTCTGTACCAGGATTGGCCGATGAGCAATCCAGCTACAATAGTAGATCAGTGGTTGAGAATTGCTTCAATCAAAGAGTATAAAACTGCAAGAGGTCCGACTGCTCTGATTTTGTATGTAGCAAGGTATGCTGGCAATGCTAAATGTACTGCCACATAATTTAGAAACTCGTATGCGTTGATCGAATCTTTTAAAGGCCACACCCCTTCGTGGAAGTACTGCCGAATCCCCGGCAGTCGGACCTTTTGCAGTTTTATACTCTTTGCTTCAATTAGATTTGTTCAGTTATTAGACCAAACCACATAACATCATGACCAAACAACATAACGTCATGACGATTGCTGAAAACCGAAGATACAAACGGCATTATATTTCAGGGCCGGCGGAACGTTTTTCAAAGTGGGGGGCCCCACTTATAAGAAGGCGCGTAACAGGGGTCTTGGGTCGGGGGGGGGGGCAAAGGTAATAATTTTCCCGGTTAGTAATTTATCATACCCACCCCGCCCCCTCCCTCTATAGAAAACAATACGATAGGGCTTATCTTATTTATAGTATAGGCCACACACGTGTGTTTGAAACTAAATATAAGCATTTTCATCATGGTTTTATTTATTTACCGTAACAACAAATTTGAAGATTTTAGGCACTTTCAGAGGATGAAAAGGGCATTTATCAAGGGGCGGGGAAAGATTTTCCAAATATGGATATTTTCTCCTTGTCTCCCGGTGTTTTTAATTCTAATTTCGTCGGAATTGATCCAAAATCCCTAAAATGTGCAATTTTTAGAGGAAATTGGCCTACTCTGACAAGAAATTTGAGATTTTTAGGCACTTTCAGGGGATGAAAAGGGCATTTATAAAGGGGTGGGAAAGATTTTCCAAAGATAGATAATTTCCCCTTGTTCCCCGGTGGTTAGCCTACGCCATCTGGAAGCTTAGATCAAAGGAGTTAAGTGGAGAAGAGGTTGCAGGGTGTTGTGAGTCTGGTCATTATGATATCTTCCTTTTTATTCTTGCCTTTATTTTTCTCTCCTCTTTTTCTTTTCCTTTTTCCTTTCCTTTTCTCTTCCTCTTCTTTCTCTTCCCCTCCCTCTCCCCTCTTTCTTTTCTCTTATTACTCAGCCCGGTAAAAACCGTCGCCCCCCCCCGTCCCCCGCCTGTTACGTCACTGCCGTTCAATTTTGGATTTCCTTATGGCAGCCATAAAAAATACTATAAGATCTCACCTATAAATGAAGCCAACAATGTACTATTGACACCTGGGTAACCCCAATTGGGGTGGGGAAAACGACAACAGCCTCGTGAAAAAAATCTTTTGGTCTATATGTAATTTCAGACTCGTGGGATTCCACAAGCCTTTCAAATTACTAATTTAGTGTTAGACTTCAGGGTTCCAGCCTCTGGGACCGCCTCCAGTCTGGGCGCCGACGCCCACCTAGACTCTGCCGCGGGACCGTGGCCGACCATTCGGGTCATCAGTGACCGTCAGAGCAGAGTCATCGGAAACTGCTGCTCCTGACTAGGCGGATTAGAATTTAATCCAGGGCCATGGTTACCCTCATGCCAAAGGAAAATATCGGGTCGAAGTCCAGGGAGGGAGTGAAACTGTAGTTATCACCAACGGCGTTTTCTGAAACATTGAGGAGTTGTGTGCGCGCACTTATTTTGGCCACGATCGCATCTGACACATCTTTTGTAGGTCTATTAGTATAGCCATAGGCCTAATTTCAATTTTTAGGCTACCTGCAGTTTTTATTCATAAAACTAAACAGTGACGCAAGACGATATCAGACCAACGTTGTTCGATATTGGCAATCAAAAGTTATGTCTATCCTAAATTTGATTCTATAAGAATTAGGCATTTTAGAATTCCGGTGCAGCGGTCTATTGTGGTTTTTTTCTATACATTTCAAAAGCAACTGATTGACTCCTCATATTTAATTCCCCTCCTCACCAAATGTGCTCGTGTTTTTATCGCACTTTAATTGGCGCACTTTGTACGCGACTTTTGTAACAAAGTTGTCACACTTTGTAACTTAACCTGCAGTTTGAATGAAATTCTGTTGTCACTTGAAAATAACCTCTGCACTTTTTAATATTCAACTGTTCACACTTTTTCATAATGGAGCAGTCGAACCAAATGTCACACTTCGCACTCTATCGAGTTCGATAGATAAAAAATAGATTGTACACGTCAGTTTAATCCAATGGGTGCGTGTATGATTTAAAATATATAGCCTACTTTGAAATACATAACTATAAGTTAACAGATGGCGCCTCATACATAACAGAAACAAATACTGTAAGATGATAACCCTAAAATTTCGAAAAAGACAATCATTTCCATAGGGGTCCCCTATGAAGTGATGTATAATGCACGCCGCCGCCAAAGACGTCTCTTCTTCTAGGTTACTGTCGGAACCATGATTGTTTTAATTAAGGGATGTTGCTTAGTCAATCAATCAATCAATCAATCAATCAATCAATCAATCAATCAATTAATCAATCAATCAATCAATCAATCAATCAATCTTTTTTTGCTCAGCACTTTCTTCTGGACCATTTAAAATTCTTTCATTCAGTGAGTTTTTCTATTAATATTGTGTTGTCGCCCTCTAGTAAGTTAAAGGAGGCAATCCCACATTCCAATAAGGTGACATCATAGTTCTAGAGCTCATTATGACACATCGAGAGGTCTTGGTAACGTTGACGTCACTCTGCCGTCAATTCACCATGATATCATGCATAGGAAACCCCTCACAGTAATACCAGGGCTTCTTGCTATCTACTATTTTTGATTGCGAAAGTGACCAAATATAGTTCCATTGAATCCAAATGCATATCTAACATATATGAATTAATATAACGAGCATTTTTGTAAGCTTTTTCTCCGCAAAAAAATGTAAAATACGATTGTTTTAAACACAAAGTTATTCTTCAAATTGTAAATGTAACAAAGCGCCTTAATATTGCTAATAGAATGTATGTGATGCGGTCACCGTTGCCGCCATCTTACAACCTCTAAGCGACCCTCGCCCGAAATACCGTAAAAGCATTGGGTTTGTCTGAGAAATAACGCCCTACATAAGCTAAACTACCAAAATGTCGAAGGCTCAGGTAGAGCTCGCAAAAGTAGCGGAACAGGCAGAGCGTTATGATGATATGGCTGCTGCCATGAAAACTGTCGTTAAAGAAAATGCGAAAACTGGCGTAAACCTAACCAATGATGAACGAAACTTGCTGTCTGTCGCTTACAAAAATGTTGTTGGGGCAAGGCGATCATCTTGGCGTGTTATCTCGAGTATTGAAACGAAAGCGGATGTTGTGGAAAATGAAAGGAAGAAGCAGATGACTAAATTATACAAGGAGAAGGTTGAAGATGAGTTGAAAAAAATCTGCGGAGAAGTTTTGGTAAGCCACCTGATAGTGATAGATGTGTCATTATATTGCTTGTTGTATGACTTATAATTATGTTAATGAATAGGCCTAGCCTAGTAGGTAGCCTAGGCCTAGCCTTTTTGGATAGGCCTAGGCTAGGCCTTTGCTGGCTGGACTCGATCCAGCAGAAATACTGCAAAAACAGCCGCACCGTACACACATAACACCACCTATCAGTGTCAATCATTGTCCAGAGTCTAAACCAGCTTCCTACCTAGGCCTAGGCTTAAGCTAGCCTAGGCGGTAGTGTGGACTTTAGAACTAACTAAGGCAAAGTCAAAGTAGGCCTAGCCTAGAGCCTAGGCCTAGGAAGGAACTAAAAATCTTGGCTTGGCAGGTGGCCTGCAGCTCAGATCCAACACACCCAACACAACAAACAGGGTGTTTTTGTTGTGAGTTGAATTAGTGCAATGACAGATTAGGATAATACAATAATTACTAAAAAAAATTTAAAAAATTAATTTTTTTTTCAATACAATAGAAGGCATACGGGCGAGGGTGATAAACTAATCATTTTTTTAAATTGGGTTTTATGGCCCATGCGCACGTAAAAAAAATGCAGTGCACTCTTTGGAAAGGAAAACGACGGCATACTCAAAAGAATTATATAATATATTCACACTATAACATAATTATATGCAGAGTATTAACTTCCGATGACTTTATACAGATACTGTATTTATTGGCATTTACTTTTGAGAAAACTTTTTTTTATCATTCATATTTGTTCAGTGTATGCGAAACAGGATTTCTATAATTTGCGATAAGGTCATGTAAAATAAAGTAATTGGTTAGCATCCCCTCCCTACCATCCAAAAGGCCACTGACCCAATTTTTTTTTTTTTTTTTGAACAAAACACTTACTAACTCCATTTAATATAGGTTTGTTTTCCCACTCGTCTGCACACTAGCCAGACCACTTGCAGTTCTATGTTCTACTGTTGTTCGATACTGTAGCCACGTGGTATCCATACTGCCTGTTGTGTTGGAGTTGAATTGTGCGTATTTATATAGAGATAATTGCATTATGACTGTTATTCATAGGTAAAGTTTCCGCTTGCTATAGATGAATTACATAACTTGTATGCAATTTTTGTTTTGTTTTGCTGTTCTTACCTTTCGACACACCTTTCGAAAAAAAAAAAAAAAGAAGAAAAACCCTCCCTCCCTACCATGAAAATTGATAACATAAGGATGCTAACCAATTGTTTTATTTTACATGTCCTAATGAGAACGAAAACTTGACGTATATGTGACGTAGTCGTTATCGTTTTCGTAAAGTTGCGGAACGTCCTAATGTGCGAAACTTGTTTGTCATTGTACAGTTTAATGTTCATGTATGAGTTGTCATGACATTCATTGACGCTAGACCCTAGAACATGCGTTACCCAACTGATATTACTGATTGTTAATTAGCATGAATTAACCAATCAGAATATGCACTTTGTTGTGTGATAAGAATCCACAGGAAAGATGTCATTGCTGGGTCATTTATGCTGTGTTTCCACGCATAATAAAAAACTTTCCGATGAATGGTCTTAAATTCCCTCCAAATATCCTCCATGATGCAAAATTATGAACCACAATGCTGTGTGTTCCACATCAAAACATCCGTTTTGTTGACCTAGCAGGTGACAGACCCGTTTTGCGCGAGATGAATAGGCCAAGAAATCATTCTATACTATTCCTAGGTCTCTCTGGGAAATGTGCTGTCAATGGTGCTTCATATTGTAGCTACAGTATGGAGAGATTGAGAACAAGGTGAAAATACATGCTGGTTGTTTGGTGTATTTTACAGTGTAAATGATAATAAACGATAGGGAAAACCTAAGCCCAAAAAATTTACTCACTATTTTTTTTATAAGTATACTGGTTCTACTAACTACTAGTTCCCTTAGAAACATTCCCACAAAAATCGTTACGACCATGATTTGACCTCGGTCCTAGGTTATTTATTTTCGTATTCGGAGCCTTTTCTGATAAATTATCTAATTGTCATCCGATAACTTATTGGAAAATTTGTGCACTGTTTTCGCAGCGAAAAATAACAGAATGACTGCTTTCTGATAATTTATTGGCATAATAAGTGCTGCAGAAACATGGCCTTAGTGCTATTGCAGTGTGTGATTAAGATGGCCATGGACGAGGAGGTAAATTCCTACTATGTGATAACATTGAACAATTCTGGGCTCATTAATAAATATAATAATGTAATTGAATTGATGTATGAATTCATATTAACAAGTACAGTACCATGATAATGTATACTAATACAAGTATAAACAATTTATATATAAACAATTTTGATGGTTTGATATGTAATTGATTAAAATCTCTTCATTTGTAGTGCCGAACTATTGATTACATATAAGGGCAAATAGAAAAATTTATTAGATTATCTTTCCCGCCTGCGTCAAAAATTTGGGAAATATTGATGCGGGAATAAAAAAAAAAATTTTTTTTGCCGCATCAATTATTTCAACAGCATAAAAATAACATTGCAAGTTTGTGACTTCAAATACATTTTCTTTAAAAAAACTATAATATTAAACCAGTTTTTATACAATATTTACTATTACAGGCCCGGGTACAGGCCAAATATAAACAGTCCCTCCCTCATCGATGAAAACAAAAGCGAAATAATTTATTGTACTGATTAAAAAAATTTAAAAAAAACCGCACTCACTCATCAATTTAAAAAAAAAAAAAAGGAGTGATAATCTAATAATTTATTCTATGCCCTATTCTGGCTATCAAATTTTGTTTTACAAAAAACATGTGACATGCCTAAATATGGTCATGATGACATCACATCATGACCATATACAGGCACATCATAGCTATATATGGTCTTACCAACATAACATTTTATAATCTGGACAGGGAGCGCTATATGCTGCAGCAAATGTGTATTCATTCAAAGACGCACAAAAGGATGTTGTATACAAAACTTTTAAATAGGTTGAAATAAAATGCATTTCATGAAAATGATAAATTTGCAATTTGTTTTTCTTCTATTCTAGGAATTGCTGGACAAGGATTTAATACCAAATGTCAATTCTGATGAAGCAGTTGAAAGTAGAGTGTTTTATTTGAAGATGCAGGGAGATTACTATCGTTACCTAGCTGAAGTGGCTTCTGGGGATGAAAGATCTTGTAAGATAATCTTTTTTTTTTTCCATTCTTAGTTTATTGTTTTGAAATTGCACACATTATAATTATTAATGAAAAGTAGCCATTCACACAAGGAGAATTTTAGCTGTCATTGACTTGTTATTCTGAACAGTTTCCTTTTTAAAGAATAAGTGAGTTTTTTGTTTATCAATAATTGTTAATGATCAGTGTTTCAAATGGCATGGATGTGCAAAACTTCCAGAGCATGGTTGTACAGGTACTGTATAGCTGTAATGACTAGCTGATATTTGCAAATGAATAAAATTGATAGCATCAAACTGTTAATGTTATTTCCTCACCTTTGTAGCTGGCCCTCTCAATGATTGGAAATGTCTTTGTATTTTCTTAAATTCAAATTATTCAATTATTTAGTAAATGTCTGTGTATTTCTGTGTTGTACAGCCATTGTAGAGCAATCAAAAATAGCATATGTATCGGCTTCAGAAGCGAGCAGTAAAATGGATTCAACGCATCCTATTCGACTTGGCCTCGCTCTAAACTTTTCCGTCTTCTACTATGAAATTTTGAATGACCCAGAAGAGGCTTGTAAACTAGCTAAAAAGGTAAGTTTAAGATTTCATTTGTCCTTACAAAATAAAATTTACAAATAATTGCTTTTAATATAAAGTTTGTTAAATTTTTGTTTTTTTCAAATTCTCAAAACCCAGATTGGCTGAGGCCCCTTGAATCTGCCATAGGAGAAGTAGAAAATGTTTGACCTAAAGATATACTAGAATACTCTAAAATGAAAATACATAAAGACTATGAATTGGTTGATAAAGATTTTTATTGAATATTTGAGAGTTAGTCATGTCAAAGAATGTCTAAAGCTACTCATTTACAAATTATCGATTTTATGGTTCATGCATCCTATTTATAATATTCATTGTGGATGTTGCACAAATAATAATTATTGATTAGTTTTTATATAGTACTATAACAAAGTAGCACTCTATGTATTTGTGATTTTTGTTATTTTGTTATTGTTGAATTATTTTCACTATAGTGAACCTGACTGGGAACTTCAGTCCCCATTGTGAAATTGAATGAAACCCCTTCTTGGACTGTTTTTCTTTGATTACACTAGAGCTGCCAAATGTTACCTTGCATTGAAACCACAGACTTGGCAGTGGTCCTGTTTATTATTAAAATAATTCCACTAACATTGATGATGTTGATAACAAATTGCTATGTGGTATTATTGCAAAACCTTTGAAAGTAACATTGACTTGGCTTGTGATTGTCTATAGGCTGAGCAGGCCTACCTACCTAAACTTTAAAAGGCTGGTGAAAGGCATTTCACAGAATTTTTGCCAAATTCAACAAAATATATAAAATCCACTAAAAAAATTAATGAAGAACCTGATTAATATCAATTGTTTAACCTGTTACCGTATGGCTGCCATTAATGCAACAATTTTAAGTTTAAAATAGGGATTGGTGATGCATTGAAACACACCATTTTGTGCTTCAAATGAATATCTCAGCTTGCATGTTGATGCATCCTGAAGAAATTACTACCGAACAGTGGCGTATCTAGGGGGTGCGCGGGGACGCACTCCAAAAATCACTTGCAGGTAGTTCCATTGAGACTTCACCTTCACCCCCCTCCCATCAGCACCCCCATTTTAAGACTTCTAGATACGCCACTGCTACTGTATATTTATGATTAAAAACCCAGGGTAGAATAAGCCCTAGGCCCATTTACTGTACATCGCAGACAATTTGCGCCCTTAACTAAAGTAAGGTATTTGAAAGCTGTAATGAAGTTGACCAAAGTATTGCCACTGTTTAGGCTTTAAGGGTTTATGCTAGATGCTAGCCTCCTATCTGGCTGGTTAATCGTTTTTTGTTTATCTTTTTTTTGAAGGCTTTTGACACGGCAATATCAGAACTAGATTTGGTCCAGGGAGATGGATTCAAGGATAGTACACTTATCATGCAACTGTTGCGAGATAACTTAACAGTAAGTTAAATCACTGTATAGCAATTAACAATTGCATTGTTCCAAATTTCAACTATCATGTTGTATTGTCAACAATAATTATACCTTGATTGATGTACTATGCACTGAATTGTACGTGTCTTAATTTTCACAGTTGTGGACAAGCGACAATTTAGAAGGCGGCGAGGGAGATGATGGCGATGCTGGTAATTAATAGAATTTCTCTACATTCACATTCTTGGCAAGCTGTATGTATACAGGAGAGACCCAGTTAAGGACGGGCACATGTAGTATCGCAACTGCAGGGCGCAAATGCTAGATGTACATCCTGTTCCGACAATTTTCGCTTTGGTGTTGTCTCCGGTTGGGTGACACAGAGCCAAAATTTGATTTGCTCCGTTGTGTTTTTTCTCACTGGGGATCGTGTAAGTAAATATGCGACTTTTGAACGTCTTGTTACATGTCTTTTTTCTACAAATTGCTTCGATATTAAAGATAGTGATTAATGCGGGAGTAAGATTTTTGAGACAAGTCGTATTTGGAAGGAATGAGAGTAAAGCATTACAGAATCCTCTTGAAATTTGTAGTATAATTGAAAGATAATTTGATTCTGATGGTGGTGGTGGTTAATGACAGCCATTCAGTTAAGACAGACCACCTTGTGTCTCGGAGTATTCCCCCCGCGTGATGTCTGCGCATACATATTTATAGCTACATATCTATACTTATTACAAAATCATACATATCTACTGGCTGTTATTCAATTAACGATGTAACCCAGGTAATTGGAATGTCATTTGTTGACCCTATCCAAAATAATTACTTAACAGTTATGAATTATTAATTGTATAACACTGCAACTTTTCAGTTTGGCTGTTTACAAATGGTACGCTCTGACATCTTCTTCCAAGCATGGCATTTTAATTTTTGAATCTTTCTAAGCATCATTTAATTTTGACTTAGCTGTTAGGTTTTGATGTGATGTGTACAAACACTTTGTTGTAATATGTCTATTGATGTTAAAGATTAAGTAGAACAACTGAAATTAAACTTTATAATAATTTGGAAGCGGTTTTTTGAAAAACAGATTTTAAGTTAAAAGGGAGATAATTATGCAAGTTAAATTTTACTCTTGAAACTTTTCTTTTTTCATATGGTTCAAAACTTCATTACGTTTGCGAACTTAGTGGTAGTTAAATAGAATGTGTAACACTGGGCAAATCTTTATGCTTTTAGTTTTGAAAATGTATGCATATCTGCTAGGAGATATCTTGTGAATGGTCTTCACTGTTTATTGAATGTGTTTAAGTGCTTGTATAGGATACTGGTACTGGCAATGATATCAGATATTGCATCTGATCTTTACATGGGAGATTGATTAATATAGGAAATTCCATTTCGATATCCTTATTCTAACTTCAATACAGTACACTACTTCATTGTGCATTAAATGCAATTGGAAGAAGGGTTTTTATTTTCCTGAATGAGGTGTTAAAAATTACTAAACATTTCATAGGCAATTATAAACAATATACTTATTTTATTGGTAGCTTCTAGATTCTGATAATATGCTGATCGTTAAGAGAAAGAAAACAAACGTTGATATTTTAATGAGGTAGAAAGAACATGCAGTTATATATACTATGATTAGGTTCGCAAGTTAGGAAATCGAATGATTTAAAACAAAATGAAATACATTTTTACATGGTATAAGGCTAGTGGCAGTTATAACCATTTGTAGATGGTCGATTTACTTGTCTATTTAACAATACAAATTCTAGTTGTAATAATAGTCATAGATCTTGTTAATAATTTCAGTTTTTTTTTGTATGGATGTTTTGCACAAGGCAATTCAACTAGATTCTGCCATGTCACTTAAGGACGCATCTTTAGTTTTATTTCTGTTCTTGATAGCGGATCAAGATTCCTGTTGTAATTTAATTATGCTAATTAAAAAAAGGCATAGCACACTTGTTCTGTTGTCTATATTTTGTAACTGTGTTGGTTTCACAATAAGTAACGGCGATTCAAATGGCCGAGCAGTTAAGGCAGGGGCTCTGCAACCTACAGTCATAATATCACCGCTGGTTCAAACGGCATGCTCGCCTATGGTTCTGGTGGTTGAACAAGTCTTCTCGCATAAGGACTATAAACCGTAGGCCCAGTGTACACAATTTGGCTCATGTGCACTTAAAGAACACAGTTAACAGTAAAACGTTCAATCTTTTCTTCCATTTCTGGTATAATAATCACTATATTAATGTAATAAACCTAACCAGAAAAACGAACTACCAATGCAAGTGTCGTCGGATTGAGTGCACATGTTTACGATGACGAAACAAATGCTAGATAGGATTGCGAAGTACATGTAAACAACACAATTCGACGATCTAACAACTAGAAAGGACGCGATAGAAAGGTCTATAAAACATCCAGATGTTTGAATATGTGTTAAGTGGAAAAATGCCAGCGATTAAAATAATTTGATTTTTATTGAAGGTAAATTCACCTAGGCTCTAGCGTTGTATCCATGCAGCTGCACTGTCGGTTCGTGCTAGGCCTGACTGGTGCTCAATGGCAGGGGATAGCTAGGCCTATAGGTATTTGAAACATTTTTCAATTTACGAACACCATCTGGGTACCAAGGCGTACATAAAATGGACGTTTTACTGTACTTTACAACTTTTGAGACGAGTAGGGGGTAAACCCTTGGTTCATACAGCACAGTCTGTTGATGAGAGATAGCTGGTAGGTACCAGATAGCTCAGACATGAAGAGACCCTTTGGGGAGCAGCAAGTTGTTGTATGAGCTAGTCCACACCTTACGCGCTTTGAGACTTCGGTATAAAGCGCTATACAAACTGAACCACATTACATTTATTAATAATGGCAACAAAATTCTGTTTCATATATCAAAACATTTATTTCATGTTTACAAATGGATGGAATGTTTCAATTAGACCCGCTAATGAAATAATATTTAAACTTTTATTTTAATACATTACAGTACTGTATTATAAAACATTTGTATAAACACCCATCCAAAAAGAGTGACAAATATAAAATGGATCATTCAAAGCACAAACATTTCATAAAATTACAAAATACAGCAAAGTTGTCACTCCTTTATACACATCAACAGATAAAATAATAAATATGCGGACCCGGTAGGGTGAACGGGAGAATGCGCCCCTTGTTTTGGTAATAAATTTTTAAATTTCAATACATATCATAATAACCTTTACTTATCTAAAAAAAATTTGCACCACTGTTTTTCTCCTAAGTATTTCTGATATCGCCATTTGACTTAAGGAGGTGAGGACAAACAAAGAAACACATAATGTGGCGTAAATGCTCGAATAAGCGCTGCAGCGCTTATAAGAAAGTATTGGTGTGGTGCTTTCTATGCCTGTTACCATGTTAACGATATGACCTATTCCCATAGTTAAGTAGGTCATACATCCTCATAAATGAACGTTTATAAAGAAATGCTTGTCTTATAGTGTTATTTATTCATTTCAACACCGCATACATTGTATTTAATACCTTGTTTCTCAAAGTGTTTATTACACACAGGGTAATATATACTCTCAATTAAACACTGCAGCACTTAATCGAGAGCGGCATTTAGCAAAAAAAAAAAAAAAAAACAATTTTGGTGCGGCTGTTATTTAAACATTTACGGTATACTGTATATATTGCCTGTCATAATTCACAACAAAATGTGGATGATTGCATCATGTATAATATTTAATACAGTACAGTTTTAAACAAGGCTGCTGAAAATTATAAAAAGTAGAATACAAACATGAAAATCAAAATTTTTGTTACTGTGGCTATTAAAGTTTGTCATGCCTTTTTTTAACTTCTTAATATATTTCCTTAGCACTTGCAGTCCAAATGGAATGGTCATTTGTTATACACGCATTTTAATCAAGGTATTCTGTCAATATGGAATGTTAGCGGAGGACATAAATCAGACATGTTAACACATTCCTAAATCCTAATCATTAGTAATATGTACTTGAAAGCCAATACCTCAAGCAGAAAGTGAATGCATGTACAGTGCAGTTACAAACTTTTTCCGTCGAGCCAAAACATCCATTTATTGTCTGGGTATTTTGTAAAATATTATATACAGTTCCTTAAAAAACTAGTACAGGCCTCTCTCCAATTAAAGACCACTTTTGGGACCAGGGTTTTTAGCAGCTTTAATAAAGGTAAGACATTTGTTAATTTGGGACCACAGTAAAGTGGTCTTTAATTGGAGGTGGTCTTTAATTAGAGGGAGACCTGCAGTAAAAAAAAAAAAATTAGCAGTATCGGTAGTTTATGTTAATAAATCTTATGTTTCAAAGGGGGAAGAAATAACTACTACTGTACTGCAAATTTGTAACTAAACATAAAGCATTTTAAATGCTAGTCTATTTTTATAGTGCATTTCTCTGCTAAGAACGAGTACCATGAGAGCTGTTTATAATGTTCTGACGAAAGCAGTGGAGGGCTTATAAAGCTCAGCTCGTACTACCAAATTTTATGTGACGTGTCCATATATGGGTATGATGATGTCATATTACACCCAAATATGGGCATATCACATTCTTTGACTAAAAAACTGTTGTATGCCTATATATAGTCATGATATTCCTACATATGGTCATGATGTGAGGTCATCATGACCATATTGCATATTTTTGTCAAATAAATTTTGGTTGTGTGGTGGGGCAAAACATCACTCCTATGATAATTTCCTGCCGCAAACTCATTAAGTCTTTAGGTGTCGCGGCACTGGTCAACATTCAAACCATACTCAGCTTCACCCACATCCATTTGTTCTGAATTGAACTGAATATTATCCACACATCCTTGAAATTTGGTACCAAATAAGAAGTTTGTTGCCATGGCAATATCATCTTCTGAACTAAATCCACCTGTAAAGCAAGACATACTGGATTAAGTATCACACTTTGAGTCTACCAGTTAATAAAGTGGTTAATTATCATTGTTAATTTATTCTTCAATATTTTAAAAATTTCCATTTTCTAGAGCTTTGGAATAAATCATCATTTCTTATATTACTGCCAGGCTCGTTACCAGCATATCATCATTATCATTATTATCATGTAAGCAACCATTTATCCTTACCCTTTTAATCAAAATCAACATCATTATCACGATTATCACATTATTATGATAAATTAATTAATAAAAAAAGATGTACTAATACATAAAACAGATAAAATTAATAGAACAATAACCATTGAATAACATAAAATGATTTAAAGAATATAATAATGCAGTATCATCCATATAGCAATCTTCAGGTAAGGACTGGGCAAGACCAATGTTAACAAATGATGGAGAATGATTAATGGATTTTTTTTTCACTGGATGTTTCATTATCTTTTCCAACTCACCTACGAAAAAGCCGTCGGCGTCCAAAGCTGTGAACGTGCCAGCAAGATTGAGAGTCTCATCAAGACTACCGTCAACAAACAAATCCACGAGAGTATCGACTCTAAATCAAAGATAATAACAGAAGTGACAGTCTTTGGAAACAGTGTTTACCTTATGCATCATTCTCGGTAACGAACCCCTTGACGTCCTCAGATACTTAGGCTAAAAATACCTGCAGCATGGCATTCGAGCTTAATTCCTCTATATTGATCAATTAATGGGTTTCTAGCCTTGGGGATATTAGTTTCGAGCTTAGTACAGTATCAAGTAGATTACCTATCATCTTTTCAGTTGATTATTTAACCTTTATTTTGTACAAGTGCAAGATTTTCCATGAAAGAAGTAATGAAGCAGATTAGTGGATATTAATTCTCATCTTGGTCTAATTCTAATTGACGATTAGTTCACAATTATTTATTATGACTTATGTTGCAATTTATATCATGCATTACTTATGCACTTCAGTACAATCAATATATAACAACAACGATAACAACAACGATAATAATAATAATAATAATAATTTAACAATAATTACAATATAATAGCAATAATAATAAGAATTATTGAAGCCTTCAACGTGACCTTTCCTCTAAGCCACGCCGTGCCCCTTGGACATTGTTGCTAAGGTGACACAAAACAACAGTGTTAAAAAATATGCACACACATGCATTTGTGGGACAACATGTGTACTTGTTTAGTTTACTGCATTTCATAATTGTTTTAGCATTTTTACTGCCAATTTCCTTTTTTGGAGCAATAAAGTTTACCTTATCGTAACTTATTCTGATTGGTCAGTTAAGTGTGATTGACAGTGCAGAAAGATCCATTTTATAAGGACTGCTAAACATATTTGGTCATTATTCATTTTTAATAATTTAAGTGACAGTCACATTTGTTTATCACATGCCAATGCACAGTCTTTAGAAAGATCTGTCCAAATTATCAAATTTTCTGACAAAAAACTGTTTAGAAAGTATAATACATACTCCAAGTATTGAAATACACGCCATCGTGTATTTCAATACTTATCTGAGATTTATCAGTGGACCTTTCGGTTTTTGGAAAACGCTCCGTAAAAACTGTTTTGTGCCCATATATATTCATAACGTGCCTATATATGGTCATGATGTGATGTCATCATGACCATATTTAGGCAT